TCCAAAAGCAATGAGACAAATACAAGTAACCAATGAAACTTTTCCTCCACCACTCAAATAAAAATTATGTTCCCACTTTCACCAAAACATATATAGACTTGCATTTGGGTATTTGAGTCAATGGCGTCAGAACACGTATAAAGGTCACATATAAGTGTATTTTTTTATTTCAGTGTAACGGTTTGAATTTGATACTTATAAATTTATTTTAAAATAATTATAAAGAAAAAAAAGAGAAACATATATAGACTTTGCACCAGGCCCTTCGTAACCAAGTAACATCTTTTCATATTATTATGGAGCACTCCCCTCTCGCGTGACGGGTTGAAGCCCGCCTTGACAAATTGTTCAAAAAAAAAAAAAACATAGACTTTATTCACTTTATGTATTATTATCCAATTTTATTTCAGTCTCTACCTCCACACAACAAACTCCAGGTGGCGTTGTCTTGTTTCTTTCTTCTCTTTCTTCAAACTCCAAAGTATTCTTTATTTCTAGTTTTTTGTCTCCTTTCTTGGGATTGCACAGAACAGATCAAAGAAAGTAGGTAAGTTTCTAACTCAACAATTCTCTGCATTTTAACGAATTTCAATCCTTTTTTTGTATTTGATATGGTTTCCATCAAATACCTACTTGATCGAAGTTCATCGGGATTTCTTTTTTTTCTGTTGATTTAGTTTTGAAATGGGGTGAGTTTGTTGAATTTAAAGTTTCAAACTTTCAGTTAGCATTTCTATGTGGATGGGAAAATTGAACACCTTTGATCTAGTCCTTTTCTCTCTTTTTTTGGTTTTTGAGTTTTTCCCTTTTTGGTTTTTGTTTTTTTCTTGGGTTTGGGGTTTCTTAGGTTGTATTTTTGGTTTTTTTTTTAATGTTTAGATCAGGAATGTTGACTGTAAGTAATTAAGTTTATGCAGTTTTATGTAAGTGTAACTTTTGGGAAACTTTTTCAAAATTCAAATATAAGGGGATTTTCCTTTTGTATTTTCACATTATGGGTCTGGATTAACCTTGAACTGTCATTGGTCACGAGTCATGCTTTCTTCAGGGCTTGATTTGCTTTCTTGAACTTAAGGAATGCCATTTGTGCTATAGGTGCTTTTGCTTAGGAATGCTTTTGGGCATTTAACTTTGTAAACTGAGTGGAAAAGAGTGTACCAAGATGCCTACCGGGTACCGCAGGTTAGGATTAGTTACATACTTATTATCTTTCTGTGTAAGAAAGTAAGACTAATTTTGGTGTCTGTACTACTGAATCATCTCAATTCTTTGCAGTGGGGGCTTTAAGAGAACACATGATGGTGCGAGGCTTGTCATCACAACAATTCTGGGAATAGTGTTTGGATATTTTATTGGTGTTTCATTTCCATCAGGTTCTCTTAACAAGGTAAGTTCATTTCCATCAGTTTGCACCTGAGTCGCAATATGCCTATCATTAATTTGCTCTGCTTTTATATCCTGCAGATTCGCTTACCTTCAAGCCTTATGCCATCTATTAATATAGCCATATCTGATGAAGGTATATATCCTCCTGAAAAAAAGCCTGAAACCAATGGTCAGTCAGAGAAAATACCCAAGGTATCTATGGTGCTTCATGGTTATGCTTTTTACTTATTCTTTGATGGCTTACACCTTCTACTTTGGAGGCTTGTACCATTATGGTGATATACTTCCACCTCTTTAGACAATGATAAACAGTTTCATTTCATTTTTCCATTTTTGGCTCCTTTTAAGCCATTATATTCATGCTCTATATCTTTCTGGTTTGTTCTGAGGTGGCTTGTGTTCAGAAAGCTAGAATAATACATGCTTCTAAATTGGTTAACTAATTGTCTTGACATTTATTTATTTTGTACAGATATATGTCCCTACAAATCCTCGTGGTGCAGAATTATTACCTCCGGGCATTATTGAGGCAGAATCTGATTTCTACTTACGCAGATTGTGGGGTGAACCCAGTGAGGTATGAATTATAGTTTTTTTAGTGAACAAAAATGTATTAATCTTGGAGCTTATAACTATTACTGTTCTAAAGCATAGTTTGTACCATTTGGAGTTTAATGTATCATTCACTATGTTTGCACACTAGTAATGATGGAAGTAGAATGGTATGCTTTAGCTCAAAACTTCTAACCACTATATTGTGGGTTTGAGATATCATACCTTGCAACAGTGTTGTAAAATTCGCAATTAGTCGGCTGACTAATCACAATTAGGCAGAAGGTGATGAGGTACTGCCCCACCTCGCCCACTTTTCCAGGACTTCAAAGCATACAGTCCTATGGAGTCATTTTGATATTGTTAGTGTTAATTATGCTTTCTCTTAACTATCCAGGTTATTAAAATGGTCTTACCATGATTTCTCTGCAATTTGCAGGATCTGAAGAAAAAACCTAAGTACTTGGTAACGTTTACAGTTGGTCTTAACCAGAGGAAAAATATAGATGCTTGTGTTAAAAAGGTTAGACAAAGGGACCATGCCTTGTTTCCCTATTTTGTAATTTCAATTTCAGGAAGACTGAGATTCCTGTTTTCTTTTATTTCGTGGTAGTTTTCAGAGGATTTCCAAATTTTGCTCTTTCATTACGATGGCCGTACAAGTGAGTGGGATGAATTTGAGTGGTCAAAAAATGCAATCCATGTTAGTGCGAGGAAACAAACAAAATGGTAAGTTATATGTTGTTCCATACAGTCATGAGTTCCCCTTTCAGCCTCTTCAAGTAAGAAAAGTTTTTGAGAATTACTATTTTAAAATAAGTATTTAGTCTATCTTGAACTTTGCAATTAGAGCCATTTATTGTTAAATTAGCTGAATCTCATTGTTCTGCAGAACAGGAGATAATTTTTTTAGTTCTCATATTCTTGTTTGTGTATGCTTTTAGGTGGTACGCAAAAAGGTTTTTGCATCCTGATATTGTTGCTGCTTATGAATATATTTTCATCTGGGATGAAGATCTTGGTGTAGAACACTTTAACGGAGATAGGTGTGTTCTTTTGAACCAATTAATGTGTCGGAGTCAATACCAACATTTACAACCTTCTTTCTGACCTGCTAATATGAATTACCAGGTTCATAGAGCTGGTCAAGAAGCATGGTCTGGAGATCACTCAACCAGGCTTGGAGCCCAATAATGGACTAACATGGCAGATGACAAAGAGGAGAGGTGATCGAGAAGTTCACATGTAGGCTTTCTCTCCCTCTCATGATATATTAGGAGCTACTAACGTACCAAGTACCATTCATTGTGAATCATGCTTTATCTAAACTCTTTTTTTGGTTAACAGGGTTACTGAGGAGAAACCAGGCTGGTGCAGTGACCCACATCTGCCTCCATGTGCTGCGTATGTTCTATCTCTCTCTTTCTGCTAGTTTCTGTATTTGGGAGGAAATTATGGCCCCCTTTTTCATATTTTGTTTGTTCTCTTAATGCTGCTTGCATTCTTTCAGCTTTGTGGAAATTATGGCCCCTGTATTTTCTCGAGAAGCTTGGCGATGTGTTTGGCATATGATTCAGGTATGTTGCTTTTAAAGACTGAGGGGCTATTTGTTTTCGTGGAGTTAAATGCGCAGTTTCTTGATCCCATCCATTTACATGTACTAACATATACTTGACTTGACGGTTTGTCATGCATTGCATATCTGCTCACTTCTCCATTCAGTACTTGATGCTTATTTGGAGTTAAATGGAAATGGTGTGAATAACTCAGATAAGAACGCTAGAGAAAGATAATCTGATTTCTTGTTGTGCCTTGTTAAAATGGACAAACTTAATTTGTCAAAGAAAGTGGTTGTGAAAAGAACTAAAAACATGGGACAGCTTCAGCTCTGCGACCAGCTAGTAGAGTCATGTAGCCATGATCTTTCAGGAAGCATTCTCTATAATGGGCTTGCACTAGGAGCATACACATGGCATGTATTGCATATTGTTTGAATATACTTTGATATATTGTTTGTTTCTACTATTATTAACTAAATGCCTGCCTGTAGAATGATTTGGTTCATGGATGGGGATTGGATTTTGCCCTCAGAAGATGTGTTGAGGTTGGTGATTTCCATCTCTTGACCCTTCCCTTTTCTTTATTGTTCGCTTTTTGTTAAACAGTCAAACCATTAGGAAATCTGTCTTCCCGAGGGAAAGGAGCAGTTAACAAGATACTCTGAAGCGTCATTTTATTTGATTTTATTCTTGATCAAATATTTTGTTTTTATCAATTTTTATTCAGCCTGCACATGAGAAGATTGGTGTTGTGGATTCACAGTGGATTGTCCATCAAGTAATTCCTTCTCTTGGAGCCCAGGTGAGCTATAACATTCACATTTCTCACGCTGATCTCAAACTAAATCACTCTTTGATTGAAGTTAAATGGGAATAAGACACATGTTCTTCATTTGGACCAGTTTTATTTGTATTTTAGATGGCATAGGATGACCAAGTCAGATTCATATTCAACATGGTTCTCATGTTTGTCTGCTGATAATGATTTCATTACCCTAAATTTGCTAAATTTCAGGGTAGCACTGAAGATGGGAAACCTCCTTGGGAAGGGGTATGTATATCTTTTTAATAAGCTTATTCTTTTTTTTTTTTTCTCTTGAACAACTAATAAGCTCATTCATTTTTCTGAACAACTAACAAGCTTATTCCTTTTTTTTTTTTTCTTTTTATTTGGTCAAACTAATAAGCTTGATCGTTACACCTAACTGTATTAAAATTTTCCTTTGACATCTTTTCCACGTTACTCTAGACCTTTGTTTGGTTTGCTGTTGCTTTCTTGCTTATATTTCAAAGTAAAAAGACAAGAAACCGTTTTGTTTGATTTAAAGTAATATGGAGCTTAACTATTTGACTAGAATTCTTGTCTCTTTGGAAAAACAAAAAAAAAAAACCCACAATTTAACAAAACGAAAGGATTAAAATCTCAAGGGTGGTACATTTCAGTTGTTCATTTTTTCCCATTTACAGGTGAGAGCAAGGTGCAAAAATGAGTGGTCTATGTTCCAAGATCGCCTCGCCCAAGCAGACAAGGAATATCTAGCCCAGATTGGGAAGGGGTGATTTTGTGCATTTCCTGACAACATTCCCATCCATCTCTCTACCTCCACTCTGTACATGTTTGCTTGTAAGGGGTGATTATTTAGTGGTCAGTACTACTAACTACGAGTGATATTCTGCTGAAGATGGTGGACTCATTTCTGGAGCCATGCTTTCTGTATCTTATACATTTTTATAGTTAATATGGGAATAGAAAATTTTTGAGCTTTTGTCCTCTTATTCATTTTCCTTCCTTATTTCTGGTATCTAAGGTCATTGGAGACCATCTTCTGCCATATGATTTTCACCTCCAAGGGCCATTGACATTACTAAATTCCATGCATTTTCACAGCTTTTATGCTTGTGTGTTCTTAAATCTAAAGTACTGTAATTTAACTGATTTGAAGACGAAAAGGAGCTTTCAGTCAAAGTGAAAAATACTTGATGGTAAATATAGAACGGCAAGCAGAACAGTAAGCACAAGCAACAGTTGTATTTCCAAGGCATAGAGATGATCTAAGACAATTTGGTTAAGGGTAAAATGGTAGAAATGCTGAATGCTGTAAACACACACAAAGTATCACTTCTACATATTCTTAAACAGAAAATCACAAAATGCATTCTTAAAACATTATTTGTTCAGAGTATTTCAAATCTTCTGCAGAAAACATTCTAATTTCAAGGTTTCTGGAAATTTTCTCTAGTAACAGAAACATGGAAGCTGTGTCTAATGAAGGCCTAACCCCCAATTATTATATCTTTGTTATCAATGACTTGTTGATCCTAATGGAAGAGTTCAATTCTTTTTAAGTAAAATATCGAGTTTGAATCTTGTGAATGGAGAGATAGATACTAAAATAGCTCCCTTTTGTATGGTCTAACCTAATTTGACTTTAAATTAGTTGGGTTCAATATAGTTTCTAGATACTAAGGGATTTGGTGTCAAAAGATGATGTCTTTGTTGATATAGGGGCCAACAATGGAGCCAGTGGCTTAGGGATTGATAATGTGAAAGGGGGTTTTTCCCAAAGGAGGGTTTTAGGTGAATTGGTGATGCTAAAAGGAAACCAATAAAAAAGGTTCCTTTTTGGAGTGAGATTTAAGTTTCCTCACCAAAACCTAGTTGAGTTTGAGGATGGCAAGCTTGTTTTTGCTTGCATTTTCAGATTCCTCATTCTGCATACATATGTACAAGAAAATGTTCATCTCACCTTCCTGTCTTGTGGGTGAAGTCTCATTTAATTAAATTAATATCTCCATAACGCATTTATATATATATATTTTTTAAAAAGATGGTTCTTGGTGAGCTGTTATAAGGGGTTAGCAGTTAGCTACACTATTTGGACTAAAACACCCCCCTTTCCCCCCCTTTTTTTTATAAACCAAGGAACAAAAATTTGATTTGAAGTCCATGAAATTGAGGTCAATTGTGGATTTTCATGACCATCCTTTATGGGATAGTCCATGGAAGAATATTTAAATTTTGACAATCTTCTTCTTGCTTTCATTAATAGTTAGCTCTCCTTCTGGAAGAACTCAAAATGAACCTGTTTGTTATGGTTTGGCACCAACCCCTTAGTAATCAAAAATAAAAACCATCCTAAAACATTAGCATTCTTGAACAAGCAACAATATATCAATTCTTTCTCCTCTCTCTGGGTTCCAGGGCAACTCCCAGTTGTTGCTGTTGTCTTCAGTTATTGTATGGAGTTGTAAGAGCTCTCTATTGATCTTCTAAATTTAACTCAAACATTTCAAGGTAGATACTTTATTTTATTTTATTTTGTTTATATGTTTATGTGTATGCACGTGCATGTGTGTTTCTCAATGAGTTTTCTTTTCTAATGTTTCAGGAGCTCCTTACACTCCAAATTTGTTCTCTGTTGCTTTTTGTTCCAAGGTAAGACATACAATATGTATGCATTTTACAACATTTTGACTACATGAAGACAAAGTTTATGCAAGTCGTACAATTGAACAATATTTTAGCTCCTCTCAACATATTCAATATTTGAAGATTAATTATTTATCAATTTTGTAGTTTGAGTGAAACAGCATTCATAATATCTGGAGACATGAGATTGTTGTACATAATTCTTTGTTTTTGGTTTCTCTATGTTAAACAGATACATTTCTTCATAGAAAATGGGAGAAATGTCAGGTTTCCAGTTAGGTGTTATTGGTGCACTGTTTCTTTCAGTGGCATCATCTGTCTCTATTGTCATCTGCAATAAAGCTCTCATGAGCAACCTTGGCTTCCCCTTTGGTAACCCTCCATCCTTATAATAATTTCTTAAATTTGGTTTAAAAAGACATTCCTTCTTATTTTCCATGGAATTTCCCTGATGCTTCTTTTTCCCTGCAGCTACAACATTGACAAGTTGGCATCTGATGGTAACATTTGGCACTCTCCATGCTGCGCTTCGATTCAATCTGTTTGAGAACAAGTCAATTGACATGAAAACTGTGATGCTTTTTGGCATCCTGAATGGAGTTTCCATTGGTCTTCTCAACTTAAGTCTAGGATTCAACTCCATTGGTTTCTATCAGGTTAAGCATGGGCTTTTAACCATTTTTTGCAGTATCTTTTACTTCTTGAGCTCCTGTTTTAGTTATTTCTTGCTTTATGCAGATGACAAAACTTGCAATCATCCCATTCACTGTATTGTTGGAAACCCTGTTTCTAAAAAAGCAATTCAGGTTGTATTTTGTGCTTGAGAAAGACTCATGTTGTTCTTATTAATTTAACAGAATTTTCCAAGCTTACAAGAGTTTTTCCCTCTAATATTTGCAGCCAAAAGATAAAGTTTTCTCTGTTTCTCCTGCTTGTTGGAGTTGGCATTGCCTCTATCACTGATCTCCAGCTCAATTTGATGGGAACAATTCTCTCCCTCCTTGCCATTGTCACCACCTGTGTTGGTCAAATTGTATCCTTTCACAATTGAATAGGAAATATCCAATGTCAATTGAGAGTTAATGATTAGATAGTTGAGACTTTAGGAACCAACTCATTTCATGACATGACAAAGTTCATTCTTAACTTGATGAATTCAGCTGACAAACACAATACAAAAGAGACTAAATGTCTCTTCCACACAGCTGCTTTACCAGTCAGCTCCATTCCAAGCAGCTGTTCTTTTTGTCTCAGGCCCTCTAGTAGATCAGCTCCTCACCAAGCAAAGTGTTTTTGCTTACAAATACTCTCCTATAGTTCTAGTATGTATACTAAACCAAAACTTTTCTTTTGCAAGAACACCAAGATATCAATAGATCAAGAATAATTGATCCCGGGTTCTGATCCTATAATTGCAGGCATTCATCATTCTCTCGTGCTTAATTGCTGTATCAGTGAACTTCAGCACCTTCTTGGTTATTGGCAAGACATCCCCTGTTACATACCAAGTGCTAGGCCACCTCAAGACATGCCTTATCCTTGCCTTTGGCTACACACTGCTGCATGACCCTTTCACTGGGAGGAACATCATCGGAATACTTGTAGCCATATTTGGTATGGGCCTGTATTCATATTTCTGCTCCCAAGAGAACAAGAAGAAACAATCCCCTGATCCATTGTCATCCCAGGTACTAATTCATGTTTCTGAGGCACCGGTGTGCATTAGATGTGGGTGTTTTGAAAATTTTTTTTACACGTTTGTCCTTTGTGTTTCAAGTAGTGAGTTATATAGACTCCGGATCAAGTCTCTAATACAAGTATGTGTATGATTAATAATTGGGGTGTTTTTGTTTTTCAGTTGAAAGATAAGGAAGAAACACTAGTTATTGCACAAGACAAAGAAGGCCATGAAGTGAAGAAACCAAACAAGGACTCTCTTGTCTAAATCAGCTGGGTCTTGTTTTGTCAAGAAGGTCTTTTACATGTGTTTATTATTAAGGTGTTTTATTTCTTCTATAACATTTTGTTGAGTGTAAATGATTTTGATTCTTTAAATAAACCTTAGTTTTCAATGTTCCCCAAATCCCCAATTCTTGTATTTACAATTTATCAGAATTATAGTAAAATGTTTTTCAATTTCCCAATTAGTTTTTTTTTTTTTTTTTTT